CGGTGCTAACTGATACTGGACGAGTTAAACTTTAAGCACCTCTAACTACCAATAGAGTGAGACCGTATCAATGCCCGTGAAATGTTCACTGTGCAATTTAGTGATACCTAGCAAATAATGTTATCATCATCATCAATAAAATATACTCATCGAAGTGTTATGTTAATAAATGAGATATCTGGCAAGTTTCAGCTTAGGTTTGGGAAAGATTCAGTTTGGGTGTTTGGCCAAGGACAAGTTAGGGTTAGGCTAACCTAATAAAGGTGACATTAAGGTTAGTACAAGTTAAATTACAGTTAGTTTAGGAATATTTTCACGTTAGGGTTAGAAGAACTAAATAATTACATGCATAGTATGTTGTTGAATTACTCTGTTGATATAAGAATAGAACTTGTGCAGTGTGGTAGGGTATAATTCCATTGTGAGTATAATTTACTTTGATAAAGTCTTATAGTGTTATACAGTGGTAATTACTGATGATGTTTCAAGCAGAGTAAATTGCTCTGTTGATTCTCCAACCTAAAACTGAGAGCTATTTTTATCACATGTGAGAGGAAGGTATCTTCTGTAACACTTTTCTATAGATTCTATACTTTTTTTTCATAAATATATGTGTAATCCAGACACAAAAATGTCATTTGCTGATGGGTGGTTAGTGGTGGTGCTTAAAGTTTAACTTTGCCCTGATGCTTGTTATTCTAGTTGTTGTTGGTGGTGGCGGCGGTGGTGGTTAGGTTGTTTCATCCTAAAAGTGAGCGTAATCAATTCATTCCTAAGAGTGTAGGATCAGACAAGCAAGAAAGAGTGCAAGATCTTGGTATAGCGAATGGGTAAACACACCATTTTTAAACACAGTTTTGGGGTTGTATTGACGAAATGACAAGGTAGAGGAGGCGTCAACGATCTACTAATCCTTTGGTATATTCACGCCATATCTAATGAAAAGATGTATTAAATACACCAAACTACTGATTTTTTTCAATAAGTAGCATAATTTACAACAAGATAAAATATTTTAAATATGCCTATTAAAATTTTCAAAAGAATGGATACTGAGCAAAGAGTACTCTTTTCGATAACCCCTTCTTCATCAGGCTCTACAGTTACATACACATTATAGTGAATGAATGAATTAGTGTTATGAACAACATTAATGTTGATTAAATAATATTGAATCAATGATATCAGTGGATTACAGTTCAATAGAGTCAACATAAAGTAAGCTGTATGTTAGAAAAATTAGGAAAGATAATATTACGAATTCATGAATTTATAGTTTCTACTGAGGGCCAGAACAGGGCAGTGGTAGTGTCTGGCTGGACTTGCTTCTTTTGAACACAGGGCACTGGTTGTTTGAGGTGAATTGCAATAGCCTCTGCTGTTTGGAGCATTCGGTACTTCGATGTTTTTGGCAATTTATTAGGCACCCAGTAGATGACGATAGAGAAGGATTCTTCAATGCTCGCTGGCTTTTTGGTCGGTTTGAACCAGCTAGTCGAACATCGAACTGTTAATGTTCTCGAGTGAGCATGAAAAACCAAGTCCCTAGAGCAACGACCGATATAACTCGCTCCACACCACAGGAGAGCAGTTGAATTGGTAGATACAATTTGAAGTGGCTAGTCTATTCTAGGTAATTCATCTTTCAGTCAAGAAATCACCACCATCGGTGGTGTAGAGAATAATACGTGCAGTTCGCCAGAGCATTCAAAGTTCTTTGAACTAATTTTCTTAATTTCTTCGTAATTATTTCACTTGGTATATAGATAGAAACACTACACATTATGTGTTTCAATTTTTAATTGAGAATGAATGATTCAATATATGAACTGATATAATAACTCAGTACTGATTATTATTTAAGATTGATGACATTCAGGATAAAAATAGTCTTTATAATCTTAGAGTAGATTTAGTGAAAGAATTGCCATTAGTTAATGAATCGTGTGGAACTAAGAAGAACTGGATAGATAGATGTTTTGTTTCACTTTGGGAGTCTTCAGCCATGCGCATGTGCACTTCTGTGGAGCCAGTTAGCTGCACAGGCCGTAGAATTAGGCGTGTTCCCTATCGGATTTCCGAACATCACCCAGTATCGTGGTTGGTTAAGTAAAGGACAAACAAAATCCATTCACATAGCGCTATTCTATCCATCTCATCTTGTGGATACAACACAACACAAGAGTGATGTCAACGAGGAAGCTTTCAAAGTCATTTACCGCATTCCAACAAACCTTAAATTCGCCTCAAGAGTTCCTTTACTAAACACTGATGAGGCTGGTTGTTGGAATCCACATTAAGGAGCCTAATTTATGTGTCCTAAAGAAGCTAGCTCAGACATTGTCCTTACCTCAGTGGCCATCTAGGTTTGAATGATCCTCAATTTTTCAGTGAAAATTTCTTTAATTTTATTTGATATTCTAGTTGCTATGATATCTTTATTATTATTATTAATTATATTTAATGAACTTTAATTCCATTGTGATTTTACTTAATAAGTCGATATTATTTAAAAAACACCATTATTGCTATTGACTACTATTCTAGAATATTTTATGTGTACAAGCATATAAATATATATAATTGTAGAGCCAGAAGAGGAAATTATCGAAAAGGATATTCTTTGCTCAATTATTTTGTTATTCAAGTATTGGTTTGTAGGGATTTGGTTGATTGGTTACAGGATTTCATCATGAGCTGACATTGGTTAGATAACAATTAGAAAACCACCTGCAAGTACCGGACAGCGGTTTCGTCAGACTAGTTTGGGACTGTTCAGCAACACGCACCCACCGCCAAGGTTCGAACTCAGGACCTTCTGGTTACAAGGCGAGTTAGCACGTAGACTATTAAGCCACTGGGACCCGATCCAATGGCCCATGAATTTCGACCTCTGCCAACTCACGATATGACGCAACCGCTAGCCAATGTCTTCGGCCAGCGGTTGCGTTATATCGTGAGTTGGCAGAGGTTAAAATTCATGGGCCATTGGATCGGGTCCCAGTGGCATAGTGGTATACGAGCTCGCTCACCTTGTAACCGATAGGTCCTGGGATGGGTGCATGCTGTGAAGAGTCCTGAACTAAGACGAAACAGCTGTCCAGTACACCCTGATGGTTTTTCAATGATTCTCTAACCTGTAACCAATCAAATTCCTTCAATCCAACCCTTGATAATTAAAATTTTAACATATGAAACACTGGTTATAATTCGAGTGTAGTTGTTGTAGTTGTATCCACCCAAAAGGAAAACTCTTTAATGTAATGAGTGTAGCAGATAGAATATAATTCCATATAAATATAGGCTCAAACTGGGACGAAACAGCTGTCCACTACATCCTCCTGGTTTTCCCATACTTCTCTAACTGATGTCGGCTGGTGATCGAACCTGTAGCCAATCATATCCTTGGTAACGAACACTTTCTATATTTGTATCGTTCAGTAGGCTGTGATCAGTTAAGAATTCTCGAAATAATAAAAATATGAGCTCATATTCTCCTGGTACAAATTTGTCATCCTTGATTTGTTCAAATTTCTTAATGGGAAGAATTGTATGAAATTTTTATGAAACTGTAATTGAACACTTTCTCTTTTTTTTTAATTTTCAAGTATCCCAAGAGCCTTTATTTTTATTATTATCTCCAAATGTGACTGAAATAGGCGATCTGCGTTGAAATATTTCACCTGTGAATACAAACGATTTGACTGACACAGTCTAAAGGTCTACATAGTCAGCTTAGCAGCATAGCAACTGATATATGTTGTACAAAACTTGACTCTTGTGGTTTGGTAGATAACACATCAATGTTTGAAACAATCAGGTAGTAATCTCGAGTCTCAATGAGGTTGCTATCATCCACTGAAGATGTAGACACAACATCCGGATGAGAAGTCATAAGTGGAACGAGGTGCACATCTTGAATTCCACCAACCAAAATAGCTGTGTTTAATTTCACATCAGAAATTTTGTTTTATATTCCTAAACACTGGAAATATTAAAAAATTATGGGATTTTCTGTGAATTTGGATAAATTTTGAGGCTTTTTCTTAAATTCCATCGCGAAAGCTGTTTCGTCCTGGTTTGGGACACTTTACCACAGCTTATTCACTAATCTACCAGTGATCCAAAATAAAATTTACCTCAACCCTTCCCAATGCTCATAATGTAAATATCAACCTTCAATTTATTGATGGCTCTTGGATGGATTTTTTCAAACTGTACTGAGAAATCGTAGCTAGTGAGGCCTATCTTGTCAAGATGAAATCGATATTTATCGAAGGCATTGGTTGTGAGTAGCGCTGTATCACGTTGTTATAGAGTAAGAATTCACGGGTCACTGAATGGGCAGCGACTTCAATCTTGTAGTCTGTAGGTCCCTGGTCCAACTCCTAGCAAGTGGGATCATGAGTACGAAGGGTTGAACAGTCTCAAACACTGGACGAAACATGTGTCGACTGCTCTTCGGTTTTTGATGATGTCTGTAAATGATGTTGGTCCATGACGCGATCTAGAATTAATTGGTATACAAGATTAACTCTTTAGGATACAATCGGTGGATGGTGACTAGCAGTGGAATCCAGGATAATGCGCATTTCATCCTATTTGGAACTCGTCAGCTGGATGTACCTGCGTTTCTCAGTGAGTGATGATGTTCCCATCGAGGCTCGAACCCAGTACCCATAGTTTCGAACGCCAAAGCGTTATCCACTAGACCACTTGGGCCACGAGAGCCACCTCTTTTGCAACGGGTCATATTATTATTGAATTGCTGCTAGTCACTGCTAGTCACCATCCACCAATTGTATCCTAACTAAATGCCCAGACATCGTCGAAGCATCTGCAGAAGAAGCCGACATGTCAACCTGAGACCAAGCACTTCAGTCCAATCAATCAACGGGAAAATCAAAAAAATCCAATTCAAGATTAACTCTTTTTTTTTAAATGAAATAACTTAGATTTTCTAATTTTTTTTCTCTTTTATTTGATGATGGCGCCTTTAGAGATCACCGCAATACGATGTTACCAGTGTGATAGTAATGAAGATCATTCATGTCCAGCTAGAAGATATTTTGATACAAGGCTGAATGCCATGATTGACTGTAATAGTTTTCTATCTCATTCACCTGGAACATTTTGTGTTAAAACTTATCAAGAAAGTACTGGCTGGAATTCATGGATAAAGATAACGCGAAGTTGTGGTGCAAGAACTGATTATGGTAAGAACTTATAAACATACGTATATATATATATATTCTTAATTATGTCTAATTATAAAGACGTAGTCAGTCATACTACACTATTCTATACAAATACAACGAGGCTCCACTTTTGTACTTCACTGTGCAATGTGATTTGAAGAAATATAACTGATATATATATATATATATATATCATTGTTCTCTTGGGTTCCGATGGGAACAAAGGCTTCAGAAGTACGTTTCCACTACGTCCTATTCACTGTGGGGGCTCTTTAGGTGATCCCTCAGTTGACCATAGTCTTTGATCCCCACCTCCGTTTCACCCTCAGAGTGACGCCCCACTTGTCGTTTCTAATTCGGGTTCCACTCAACCGATGGCCTGATGCGCGATGTCATCTGATGGTTTTTTTTCCTTCATGTTCCCAGGTGAACATAGGGCTTCAAGTTTCTTTAGCAGTGTTTATTTTACAGGATGGGGTTGCAAGCCTCATGTCCAACCTTTCCTCTTTACCAGCATTATTTCTGGCTTAGTGACGTAAAGGAGTGCGTCAGTGGCCGGGGATCGAACCCCGGACGGTTTGCATGGTCAGCGAGCGTCCTAACCTCTGTGTCACACAGTGTGTATCCTATCCACCTCCATGTTCGTCTGAATAATTTTATTTGAACAGTCGGTTCTCGCCTGTTGGTTCGTTCTCTGCCACAGATTCTTGTTGCTAATTCTATTTGGCTAGCCCATTAATGTTCACTATGGAGCTAGCGATATGGGCAGCTGTTGATAAAAGTCTGAAATAGCCTGTTCTAGATGCTTTTGGTGAAGCCCCGTGTTTCGGATGCATGTAGAAGAACTGAATGACTTCTAAGTGTGTTGAGAATTATCGAGTACATAAGATTATCTTCCAGCTTATGTCGGAGTGATGAATGCGTATCTTGCCTTTACGATTCTAACGTCGACATATTCATCCGTTCCACCTGTAGTTGAAACGATACTGGTTGCATAGATAAATGAAGGAGGTCGCCTCTGTCAAACCTCTCCCGTTGATGGTGATTGGTGCTAGTTGTTGTTGTTGTTGCTGTTGGTTGGCTTCTGTCTTCATCCCCTATCTCCGTCTTCTCTATTTTCACCTGGAGTCTTGTTTTCCCTGCCTGCCTCTTCCATCAGTTTGTTGATTTTTGCCTGTAAGTCTTCGAATTTATGTGACATTCATCAACATAGACCGGATGCAAAGTCCAAAGCTTTTAGAGTCTTCTTACCAGTAGTCCAGCGTATTCCTGTCTTCTCACCCCCTGTGCACAGTCTGACGCATAATCCATTTCACTACAATTAAGAATATCATCAGTGAGTGCAGACACGCAGTTTTGTCTTACTTCTGGCTTCGCTTTAGACACTCTATCGAATTTTCCTTCGTGGATCACCTGACACATGGCCTTGTCATATAGCCAGCTGTTGAATAAGGTTAATAAAGCTTGGAGCATTGCACACCATTGCGTTGAAGTAATTTCTAAATTACTTCGTGGTCAACTCTGAGCTGTTGAATATCTTTTCAATGTCGACGAAACTGAGATAGAGGGAGCTTTGACTTCCATTCTATGCTCTGTTCGATGACGATGCGTCATGATTTGCCTTTTATGAGTCTAACTTGTTCCGGTTGGCGGAGTTCTGCATCTACTGCATCCTAATTTCCCACCGCGTTGGCGCGATTTAGTATTTTACTTGGTATATCTATATATATATATACAGGTAGCATCATTTCAACTGAAGGCGACGCAGATGACGATATCGAAGCCAGTTGAGATCAGAAAAGCAAGACAAACCTTCATCTATATGAAATCAGTGTAGAAATCTACAACACTCAACCTGAAGAACAAGATTCAGATACTCAACACTAATGTCAAGTCATCATTCACTGCTTCCATAGACTGTTCAATGACTTGAAAAACAAGCAAACACATTTCCAACAGTAACTATGGTAAACTTTCATCAACAGCTGTGTTATAACTGCACTGAATTAAGATAAAACCCCGTCGCCAATTTGTTATAACTGTAGGGAATTGAATGAAGACGTTTTCACCTTATTCTGTCTGCGCCTAAACTAATCTGCCTATCTGCTCGTCGTACCTTCCGACTTAGTCAAGCACGCAAATATCAAAAGACAAAGGCTGGACTGTGACTGTGTATTGAAGTGCAACAACGACAAAGAAAGCCATGGTATTTATACATTTTACAACAATATGGACAGCTAACAGCATTTGAAATAATTGATCTTAATAGCCAATAACAAAGTGCGTGAGAGATGATAATATACCATATGTGCGAGATTGACAGTCAATACCAAAATATGTGGGATCCTATCAAGCTGTCATCACACAGTACTGAATATCGAATGACCAAAAAGGAAGACAAGCAACAGGGAGAATTCAGGGAACAAACCAGTCAGCCTATTGACTAACAAGTATGACGAAGGAAATGCATTGAATTCCTGGAATATACTCATCAGAACATTAAAGGGAAAGAAACAAGAAGTTCATTAAAAAAAAGAAGATAAACATCTTTTCGGCGATTTCATCCTTAAAAGCAGCTGTACAATCGCATTTATATGCCATAAGTTTATTATTATTATTATGGTATCCTTTAGTTCCTAGAGGAACATAGGGCTTCAGCTGCGCACCTCCATTGTCTTCGGTTTTCTGACAACTTTTTCACCCTGCTCCAGGTCTGTCCACATGCTTTCATCTCCTCCTCGCATGACTTCCTCCAAGTCACCTTTGCACTGACGACCAACTCGCCGCCTCCCTTTCGGGTTCCACCCGAGCGATGGCTTGTCTAGTGATGTCACTTGATGGTTTCCTCAGAGTATGGCCAGCCAATCCATCTCCATTTCTTTCTGCCTATTTGTTTCACAATCGGTTCCTGATTTGTTCGCTCCCAGAGATCCCTGTTGCTGATCTTTTCTGCCCATCTGATCTTGAGTATTGAGCGGAGACAGCTGTTAATGAAGGGAAGAAGTTAGATAGATAAAATCACTATGGTTTAATTCTACACAATAACTGGGGAGATCAAAGGTGATAATAATTTTCAACTTGATATGAAAGTTCTATGGTGTAAATATATCGATTACAAAGGGGAATAAAAACAAAGTTGTAAAATGTTAGGAAATAGTTGCGTTATATGTAAAATAGTTTTTCTTTTAAACAAATACAGGTGCAAAAAAAAGGATGAACGCGGAAACAAATTGAGATAATATTGATGATAAGAAAAAAAAGGAAGGGTGATATTCTCTAACCGCCCACTGCTTCTAAGCAATATGAAGGACAAACTTCCATATATGACCACTCCGATGTGTATATATATCAGTTCACCAGCTCTTGTGGAGCTAAGTACATAGGTCATTCTATGCCGCTTCTATCAAAACGTGTTAGAGAACATTATCCAACATGACTGCAAAGAGGAAGCACTGGTTCAGTCCAAGGTGCCAAAATTTAACACCTCGTCAGCACACCTGTTAAACCAACTCAACTAACTCACTACATTCAGAGTCATTTACAAAGTAAAAAACAAAAATCTACCATAGACAGTGTCTTACCAACCTCTTTGTACTTCAGAATTCCTAGTCATATGTATTGAAAAGCCAGAGTTATGTGTTCAAAAGAAACTAGTCCAACCTTTACATTTATCATGAATCTGGTTCAGTTTGACTCCTTACTTTTCGGATGACTAGTGCCTCGGCTATGCCCAGATATCTTAATTTTACCCGCTTTGATGTATGCACTACCCAAAGTGCATAAGAATGACGTCCCACTCCATCTAATATTCGATATGATTAATTCGCCACATCACCAAATCGTGAAGTGGCTGGTAGAAATTCTTGGTCCAGTGAAAGAAACGTTGTCGAGATCTGTCTCTGTCTGTCTGGATTCAACATAGAACTTGGCACCGAAGTGCAGCAGTTCGAGTTGCCACCTACCAAATAGCACACACAAAGGTAGACAAGAAAATGAGTGAAGAGTATCAATACAGTCTGACAAGTATAAGAGTGAAACAGAATGGGTAATGGTAGAAAGGAATATGAAAGATTACAGAGACTGAATACATCTGCGCCATTGACAACGATTTTGAGCCATGTCACCTATTGTCTCCAGCCATTGATTCCTAGAGTTCCGAGGGCCCCAACCCGGAAGTCTGCATCTCCCTACCTGACTCAGTTTAACTGTCATGGATTGATGACATGTTTTTGTTTGGCCACCACTTACTCTTTTCCAACCTGAACCTATATCAGCTAGCAATGCCCGTCAGGGGTGGCGGTGGTTAGGCATGCGCACCACGTGACCTAGCCATCTTAGTCTATGTAACTTTATAACCTCGTCGATTGATTTTCCCTGTTTGCCCAACACTCTACGCCTAACGTCAAAATTACTTATCTTGTGAAACCACCTAACGTGAGACAGAGATCGCAGACATCTATGATCGAAAGCAGTCAACCTTTTCATGTCTTCAACGCGTATTGGCCATGTTTCAGAGCCATAGAGAAGGACGGAGCGAACTGATGAGCAGTACACACATCCCTTAGTTGATAGCCGGATGTCACGCCTACGCCAGAGATGGTGTAAGTCAGCGAAAGTAGCTCGAGATACAACCTCTGCGATACATTCGATTTCGTTGATTCAATTAAAAATGTCAATCTTGCAAATAAAAAGATGATCTCCCTAGATGTCGTCTCTCTACTCATCCATGTTCGACTGACAGAAACTATTTGTTTTCTGTGTGACTTCATCCAATGCAACAACATAGATGTTGGCATATCGACCCATTATTTAAAGGAGCTGCTAATTCGTTGTACCTTCAAAGTCTACTTCAGATTCAACGATGAAATCTACAGGCAAACAGATGGCGTAACAATAGGCTCTCCACTCGGACTACTCCTAGCCGACTGCTTTGTGGCCAGCCTCGAAAGCAACCCCTTATCATTAAACTATCGACGACCTCCATCTCTACATACGATACACTGATGATACTTTCATCA